CTGAATTCCCATTTTTCTTTTTTTTTTTTAAATTTTGTTTTTTTCTTCATTTAAACGGATAGTTTTCACTTATCAGGTTTGTGTTGGAGCATTGCAGTTATAATTTCTCTCCAAAGACAGCAACACCACGGGAACTGAAGCGATAACAATCTTGCAGTCTTCACGCATTCCCCTGAGGGTACTAACTGTTCAAACATAGCAACTTCATATATGAATATACTGGTCACAGCAGACAGTTCAGACGTCATCCTAATAAAAAGCATGAGAAATTTCTTGTGTAAAGCTGAATGTCCATTCATACACATGTATCTTGATCAGTTGAGGAAACAAACTTTGTTCCTGTATGCACATAGAAGGGAAGCATATGGAGAAATAGTTGAATGACAGACACTCCAGAACACAAGCCCTAGGGAAAGGCCTCCCCACCCAAAGAGATTCCATCTAAGAGTTCCACGTGTCAGAAAAACATCAGGAAAAAAAAATGAAACTGCCATTTCCACTCAGGCAGCTTTACAGTTTTGCATGTTCAAATCTTAAATCCTACAATTCAGAGAGACCAGAGCCTCCTGACTAGAAACCTAACACAGAATGGAAAACATAAGTGACTTCAAAACACTTCAGTCTCTCCATTTCCAGTAACTTCCTGTACTTTTTGTTTGGCAACAGTACTTGCGTTTACCTGGTTTAAGGAAAGCCATGAATGAAAGAGCACATTCTGCTTCCAAACAATATCCATCAGCTAGGAAGTGATAATCCACCTGAATGAAATATTGTCATTACTGATTTTCCAACCTACACATATAAGGAAGATTTAAGGCTCCAGGCTGCAGATCCAGTACTGTGTAAATTTGGAAGTAGCAGAAAGAGATATTGTAATTGCTGGAACATTCCATTGGTAAGAAGGAAACAAAACAGTTTCACCATGAAGAAAAAAAGGACTATTCTTGAGCAGTAATCTGAAGAGTTACTCGGTGTTCCTTTAGTTGGTTGAAGGATCCTGACTCGCACCTGTAGGAACGTATGAGCAGCAGAAGACAGAACAACTTTGATTCAAGTTTTAGGACAGAATAAAGATGATTGCCCTAGAGACTCAAAATAGAGATTTGTGCCATTCACATTTTAAACTCTAGGAAATTTCTGTTCTTTCTCTTCTCATTTCTACTATCATAACAAAACTAACTATAATCAGTCTTACACTACCATGTTGTAAGAACTTGAATTTCTTTTACCCACTTACAGTTCATGCTGCAGGGTGCAAATCACAACTGAGATGGCCACCTCTTCTCCTCAAACACATTATCTCATAGTATGCAGGCTGCCCTGGCGCAGTTTGAGTGCCAGCGGACCTCAAGTTCAGTATTGTGACCTCATTTCCCAGAAGTAATCTTGGAAACATCAAATAATGAAGAAAGGCATAATAAGAAAAAACCATGTACCCATCAGTATTTGGCTTCCTGAGGATGCAGACCATGGGAATGTTCCACAGGCAAAGAAAACTCAGTACTGCTTCCCCTTTCCAGTCCACGTACCCTGAGTTACAACACTCCAAGAGAGTTCCTGGGTTTCAGTTCAGTCAACTCACAGTTAGCTAGCTGCAGGCTGGCAGAGACATCAGCAACTTCACAGCAAAAAGCACAATCTGCCTCCAACACAGATCAACCACATTTTCTTCAAGTCCCGAGGTCTGTCCAATATCGTGCGGGTTTCCAAAATTTCACGGCAGAAATATTGATCATAAAATGGCACAATCTGCTAAGGGAAATTGTGTCTGAAGGGCCTGAAACGATTCACCATGACAGTTGCATTAAATAAACGGAGAAAGAATATTTTTTCTTCTGGTAACAATAAATTTGTTTAGGTGGCAACAAGCTGTCCCACAGGCTGAATTACTTCATTCCTTTGAAAAGGATTCTCAGAATGTTCCAAGGATGTTGAAATCTCAAATTAGGAAGAACTGATTTGGGCTGGCAAGGTCATGTTCTTCTCTCTGATTTAAAAGCACACTAATGACAGACTATTCTTCTGCAGGAAGTATACTTTCTAATGTGACTCGCAAATCATGATTCTTCATAATTTTGAACTATTCAACTGGATTAGATGCAGGCTTTTTGGGGACAGGTTAATATATTTATTTCAGTGTAATCTTACAACTGTGCTTTTCCAATTCAATCCTTTCATAAAAGCCACTACTGAAATCCTACTCAGGACCTCCATGGTATCTAAATGGTTGTTCAGAGATTTAAATGCCTCAGCAAATAGTTAAAACAACACCTCACAAACAGACAATACCAGCGATGTATTTTGTTTACCAACAGACAGGCAAGGAACAATTAATGGACAGGATTCCCACAGATGACTGCAGCAAGTACAAAAAATACCAAACCCAACCTGATAGGTGAAAAGTGAAACACAAACTTGTACCAACATCAATTCTTCCCTTCTAAGGATTGGGAACTAATAATGCAAGGTAAGTTGTTTATCTATGTTGATGTAAACATTTAAGAAAAAGAAAACCATGACATTTCCAGAACTGATATAATATTCTATGCTATATTTTCACTCTTTCATACCATAGTCAGACCATCATGCTTAACGAGCAATCCTACAGTAAAAGACAAGGTGACTGAAGATTACAACTAAGCTCTATTCACATAGCAGCAGCATGCCTTTGGTTGTACACTTCCTTGCAAAAAGTACATGTACTTCTACCACTGGTAGCAGATCCATTCTGCAGCAGCTGATGATTTTTTCAGAGTTGTATTTTTAAATGTGATGCACTGCACGGAAACAGTCCAACTTAAACTCAACACAACTGCATGCACGATCAAAGATGGATCATTATCTGAGCGCGCAGGATGCATATTTTCCCATTTAGCCATCAATGAAAGTGGGTATTCTTTTTGTTCATCACTGTGAAAGATTATATTGACGGTATCAGCAAGCAGATGAGGAGTAAGAACTAAATCAGGATCAAAACTTACTGGAATCTGTAGCAAATGATTTTCCAGACAAAAGTGAAATCACTAATTGCTAACCTCTGACTACGAGACAAGCATGGGACTGCCTAGCTATTCTCAGTTCTGCCAGCAGCAATGATCAATTTTTCCTCTTTGCTCAATTTCTGCATTCACTGAAGGACTAGAGTAATTAGAACCTGTTAAAGGTTGTAGTTCTGGTGTAAATTCTGTTCTTTGAGAGCCACTTGCCATCAAGTGGATGAAGACTGACCTGCTCAACATACAAACCAGCTGAAACAAAATAACAAAGATCACATAATGATATTTCTGTACTACAGAAATGGGAAAGTTCAAAACTTCCGGGAACCAGGATAACAAAACCAACAAAATAGCCAAGCTCTTCAGCCTGTTCTGGTTGAACAGTCTGACAGTCTGCAACAGTATGTTTCCATAACTGAAATTTTGCCCTAAACTTGAAGAATAAACAGTGTGACGTGACCCCTCTGGGTGTTATCTACTAAAATAATTTTCAAAACTGTTAAAACCAGTAAACTATACGATCAGTTCTGTCACACACTATCCATTTGCATGCTCCAGAAATATTATTTAGCCTGGAAAGGAAAATGTTAGAAAAGGATCTGGCTCAAGTGTGTTATCAAATATACAGACAAAACCATTACCAGTTCTTAAAAGTCAGGAAACAGCGTCAGCTCATAACAATGCCGTGCCATGAGAACTCCAGTCTTGTTCTGGACAACTGAGGATAGACTGAAACCCATTTTACAGGTATCTGATAGAGTAACTTCTCCGATGCGAAGCTTGCCTGATTTCCACAGCAATAGACAATACTGATTTCTTGTTAACTATCAGTTTCCCTTTGTCAACAATTCTCAGTCAGAATTCAGAGAGTACTTAGCAACATTGAAAAAAGAAAGTATACATGCTACATAATAGTATGTGTACACAGAAAATGCACATTTATCACCTTCCATTGTAAAAATGCTGCATTCAGGGAGCTTGATTTTCTTGTATTAAACACATTCAGGGCATAACACAAGTTCAGCTATTCCCCTCGTTTACCGAAGAGCTTTCAATGATGCACCACAGACAAGGCTGAGAACATCCAATAAACAAAAATATCAGAACGGCAAACAGAATCATCTATTAGCACCACAGCTCTCCTTTAACAGCATGAACTACCAGCACACCAGAACTAGTTGATTTATCAACCTAGACGCAAACCGCAATGTAATCACTCAGCAGAACAACAAAGAATAGCAGAGAAGGAAATTCAGGACTTCATTTTCTTCCCTCAGAAAGATCAGGAGAAAAAAAATTAAATTCACCAGTAAAATAGCAACTATTTTCGGACTTAAACACCTCGCCTAGTTACAACATTGTTAACATCAGGCACCTGCTTCAAAACCTAAGAGAACAAAAGAAAGTTTTCATCAGCAAACATAATGCTGTGCAGAAGCGATATACCAGCACCTGTGAAGAATTAGTACCACTCTTAATAGTGTGGACTGCTATTCTTTTATCTTTTTTAGCAAGCTAAACACATTTATTAAATGAATAGAAGGGCATAACTTCTGGTTTTTGTCGCTTCTGATAATGATGTTTCCCTACGAGATAGCAGACTTATGAACGGAATGAAATACCCTGACAGGGATCAGTGTTAACCAGAAGATACAGTAAGACCAAAATGAATTAACTAGGCTGGCTTCCAGAGAACTCCGTAGTACCTGTTTTCAGGTTAGGCATCAAAGAAATGTTTTTCATACATTACTATCTTGAGTATTTCAGAGCCATACAACAGAATTTATATTCAGTAATTAAACTCTTAAAGCCCAGCAAAACTTGGAGCCTTAATGGGAGTTGTTTATGAGGAGTAGGTGATAAACCTAGAAGACAGGACTCATTCCAGAATATGAGCACAGCACCTCTTCCAGGTAAGTACGGTTCTGAGCACTGTCAACATGTGAACACAGACCACATTTAAAATGTCAAACAAAAACCATGCTATATGGTCCACCAAGAACATCGAGTTTATAGTGAAATTTATTGTTCTGCTTCCTAATACAATAAGCTACAAGGTACATACAGTATAAAACGAGAACAGCCACAAAGCAAAGGTGATAAACATTCTGTGACAGTACAGTGGAGGTAACATCTGTCTAATCCTTCCACTTTATCCCACAAACAGCAGCTAAAACTACTAGCCCTCCCCCTCCCTCCCCTCCAAAAATATTAAGTAGTAAACTGTCTCTCTCACTTAGGAGCAGTGGGATTCGTTGTTTTTTTTTTGAGGACACTGGTTATCTGTCAATTTCTCAAGAAAATTGCTGAAACTAAAGTAACAAAAAAACTGTGAAGGTGGGAGTGACATGACCCATGCAAGATGCTCATGACACCTTGGTTCACTTCTCCTCAGAGCAAATGGCCTGTAAAGAAAGGAAAAGTTTGTTACACCAAGTAAAACTGCAATTAACATGGTAAGAGTTAAGGTATGGTACGCAAAATCTGAACTAGACAGGACTAGACACACAGCTGAACTACTCTTTTAATGAAAACATAATCTTCCTGTTAATAAGGTTTGGAGATTCATAGCTGACAATCCTTCTTCTTTTATTTTTAGATGCTGTACAGGTACTGATACCTATTACACAAGGCTCCAAATCAAATGTCTGGAAGAACACTAACAACGACATGAACTGCAAGCCCAACTCAACCTAAAAAACCATCAAGGCTAAAAGCATGCAGGAAGTCCAAACACTTACCTTAGAGGCATAAAATTCCATTTAACCACTTTTTCATATATACTTGGTGCGGTTTAGGGCTCTCTCAGCAAGATGGCCGCTTTCATCTGTTATCTTCTCCCAATCTGTTTGTCCAACAACAAACCCAATGGCCCTTTTCCTGTCTGCATCTTTTTTTTCTTCTAGATCTGCCCACCGCACCTATGGAGAACATACTATCAGTAGGACAATCTCTTCAGAAATCCTGAGACAAGTCTACGATTTCCACTGCAGATAAAAGTACAAGAATTCTAATTTGTACTCATTTTCATTCAAACAGGTAAGTACTAATTTGTTTTCCGATGGGTAAAGATGGAAATTACACCAGCTATGTTATTTTTAATTGAATATCCCAGGTGTTCCATGGAGTAGAAGAAAGGTACAGATGATTAGCCTTATCAGTTTCAATGCTATAACTCTGAGAGCTGAAGTGTAATTACTACAATTATTTCTCTGTTCAAAGTCACGCTTTCTGCAGGAAGAATTACCAAAGATTCATTCATTTAGTGCCTTCATTTTCTGTACAACCTGTCTTTCAATTGCACAATGGAAAAATCTAGAAGGTGACTATGAAACTCCAGAAAGACACTGTTAAAGAGCAGCTCAGCAATGGATGAGGGACAGTTTTCTTCTCTACCTTCTGTGATACCTTTCTATTTAAATCTTTCAACTATTTCTTTACACTAAATAACTCCCTCATGCATGTTATCTCCCATCTCTACAGCTGTAGTCATCTTCTCTGTGGCTCTTCATGGTCATGCAGATCATCTGCATTCATCCTGCTCAAACATATACAGTCACTCCCTCGCCCACAAACCCAGACACCAGTGGGAGGGAGCGCAACAGGGAGGAGGGAGTGAGGGAAGTGATGATGAAGGTCTACAGTCCAGAAAGGCAGCTGGAACACAATGTTGCAGGACAAGAAAAAACAGTAACTGAAGGAGCTCTTCCTTGACATCCTAACTGACTAGTCACATTCTGGCTGACTTCTTACCTGGGGATGTAGCCTTACCACCTTTCTGCCAGCACCTCCCTATTCCACATTCTACCTGGACTTCCCCAGACATTCACAGAATCACAGAACGGTAGGGGTTGGAAGGGACCTCTGTGGGTCATCTAGTCCAACCCCCCT